ACAGCCACTTGTCTCACCGAACTAGTAAGAGAATCTGCTGGCACGGTGGGTGTTGCCACCTTATGTAACAGACAAGTGACATCGCGCCACCTTTGCTGTACTCTCTTGGTTGGAAGCAGGTCACAGTCCCACTAACATGTAAGAGGAGAGCATTGCACAAGGGGGTGACTGTCCGAGACGGGGATGTCGGCTATCTTAGAGTCCATCTGCCAACACTCCTCAAAAGAAGATGTGGGTTTCTTATCTGGTGGTGTTTCAAGAATTGTTAGCAGATCGTTCATCCAGCCAGGCCTCAGGTTCAGAGGTTCTTTTTTTGCCCACAGTAAGGCAAAGTCAGCTCCACTCACCTGAGTTTGAAGGGCAGAGAGGGGGGCGAAGGGAGCAGTTTCAGGGAAAATTGTGCCCTGCGCCAGCCCGGTGATTTGCGGAGCAGAACATGTGCTGACGTGACACCGAGGACGCCGGCTGCTCCCAGGGCCCTGCCACAGTGTTTCGTTCCAAGTGTTGCTCGTGCCCGAGATACGCTTCCGGTTTTGAAATGTGGTTCCTGGACTCATGCATGACAACAAACCACTCACTCCCTCTTTAAAAGTCCCGTTTTTTAATTCTTTAATGCAGGTTTTCTAAGCGCACGATGTCAGCCCGAGCTGTGTCCTGGCGGTGGCCCCGAGGCCTCTGCTCGGAGAGGGTGGGTTTGGACCACCCGAGCCCGCTTCTCCGCTGCGGCAGCCGGCCTGTGTGTGCAGTGCCAGCCCGTGTCGGTGCCGGCGCCCCCCCAGAGCCCCCCCAGAGCCCCCCCCAGAACCCATGTCGGCCTACCTTCTACAGTCTCTCTCTCTTTTGTTAACGTCATTTTTTTTTTTGCTGCAAAACTAGTAAATCCAGAAGTAACAGATTCTCTTTCCGATATCATGCTATTAGGAAAAAAAATGAGTGATTTTCCGTGAGTCCCTCTCCACCTCTCGCCCCCCCTGTGAACAGCATGACGTGGAACATTCTGCCTGGGGTGTGGACTCTCTTCCCATCCTGAGGAACCAATGATTACAGCCATACGTGTATTGAGAAGTATGCTCATTTGCTTTTACAGAAACAGGACATCAACTAAAGCTATTGTGATTTGAGTCGAATCAGTTCTAGCGATCTGCTGGAAAATGTAGTGCCCTAAGGTAACAGTCCCGCACTAGGTGCTTACAGGTTTATTAGAGGGGAGATGTCATGGTAAGTGCTCTTACCTCACATGCAGAAAAGCGCAAAGAGACGCAGGGAACTGGGAGGCCATGGGCGCGCCTGTCGCCGTAACTGCAGTCCCGGCATCACAGGGGTGCGCCCACAGCCAAGCTCGCCGAACTGCACACGTGGACTGTGTCCCGTAGTTTTGTCCCCTCCATTAAGACTCAGCGAAGCAATAGCCCAACCCCCTCCCTCCCCCCAAACCCCAGGACATCAACTTTTGTTACTTAATTGTTTCTCATGATCACCCTTTCGGATCAATACATCAATCAGTCTTTTTAGTGGCTGCTGCTGATGCTACGGGGTGGATGGATCAGCTTTCACGTCCTGGTAGGTTTACAACGTTATGCTCAGAAGAACTCCGTGAGAGGGGAAGCGAGGGAGTGTGTTGTTCCCACTTTAGAATGGGAGAAGCTGAGGCGCAGAGAGGTTCAGTGGGGGGTCTAGGGCTCCCACCGGGTCCCAGTAGGTACCCGGCAGAGCGAGTCCATCTAGTATTGCTCTTGCTTCCTGCTGCCACAAGGGGCGCTGTTGGCACTTGATCCTGTACAGCCTCTGTTGACAAACAGCCCCGTTCCTTGCTAACATGAGGATTTTGGATTCCCCTCTTTGGTTTCAAAAGTTCAATTAAAGCTTTTTCTGCCAGCGACCATCACGATCTACCCTTCCAGGTACCCCTAACTTTGAATAACAGGGAGACGGGTTGGGAGTTTAATTTCTTCTTTCCCAGAAAGCCTTGGGAAAGCCTTATGCAAATCCACTTTTTCCCCAGTGGTCACGTTTGCACAGCTAGGTCTCAGAGGGTCCCTCTAGGCTCAGTTACACCTGCTTTTCCTCCCAATCCCAGCCTCTGGGGCTTCTTATCTTCCCTTTACACATTTAAGGGAAACCAGAGACTGGTTCTTCATAGAACATAGACTGCTGACTTCAAGGTGACTTTCAGACTTGAAATTCATACAAAAGTTATAGAAAGCCAAACACAGCTTTATGTATTCATGAACACAAGTGGCTTAAATCAACAGAAAACAACGTCTTGCTCATTCAGGTGCTGATGTTGCTCAGGTTGCTCAAACGTCTCGCCTCACACGATCGGCCTTACCCATTGAAGTGTCTACAGGACCCAGATTCGGGATTTTGCTGACTAGTTTCTGATTCTGCAGCCTGTGCCAAATTGGTTCTACAGCTCTGTGTCACCCTTAGCTTTCAACCAGGGGTGACAGTTTTGAGATTTGTGTGTAATCTTCCAGGCTTAACAACAAAACAAATAAAAGAGCAAACAGGTCTCCACACATGAATATATGCCCTTAAATATTTTGTGAAAATTTGGGAGTCATAAATGGTACCTACATTATATAAACTGCTTTTTCTTCTGTTTTTGTGTGTCAATCTAAGCTGTGTTTTATCTTTCTTCCTTCCTTCCTCCCTCCCTTCCTTCTTTTTCCCCCCTTCCTTCTTCCCTTCCCTTCCGTTTCCCTCCCTTCCTTTCCACCATTAGAGATGTCCCCATCACCCCACTTGGTAAAATGCCGTTTGGTAAAGTCCATTCTTCACCTGGGGCAGAGAGTGGGTGCTCCGTCTGGGGTGGCATGGGACGGGAGCACTGATGGGTGTGGATGACAACTGGCTTCTTTCCAGGCTGTGTCCCCGGGGGAGGTGCTGCTTCAGCCGCAGGAGGACGGGAAAATCTGTGTGGAAGCGCTTCCAAGATACTGACCTACCTGTAGGGGGCAGTGTGGTTCTTCTTATGTTTATTATTATTTAATGGGGTGGAAGGAACATTAATGTTCTCGAAATGAGTGGATACCCCAGTAGAGAGAAGAGAACACTCAATTATTTGTCTTCATCCTGCGTAGTTCTGATTTACCTGCTTTCTAACAGGTTATCTTTGTATTTGTGGGCTTTGGAGGTTATTCTGGAAAAAGAAATATCACATGCAATAGAGTCGTCTTGTAGAAAATCCGAACAGCGTGAAAGTTCACACGGTAAGACTTGAAGGAATCCTTTCAACAGCTCTCCCACTTGGTCCCCTCGGTAGAGGCAACAGCTCTTACTCTGGTGTGGATCCTTCTCTCCTCTGTGCACTCACACAGGGCAGGAGCAGCTGCACCAGCACCACCCAGACCAAAGTTAGAAATGCAGAGCCTTGGGCTCCACCTCAGACCGACATAGTCGGAACCTGCTTTTGAACACCATCCACAGTTAGAGTGTGAGAACTGGCATTCACTTTTTAATGTGTTAACTTACATATTTGTATACATGCAAACACATGTGCTCCTGGGGTTGGAATGAGGCTGTAGATTATGGCTCTTTTTGGAAGACTGGTTTCGGTGTGGTCAGGACTGGTCACAGCAGTAGCAGTGCCTGCCACCTGGCATGCAAATGTCAGACGCCAGCTCAGAACTGCTGAATGCAGAGGCCAGGGAGGTGGGCCCAGCGGCCGTTGTTTTAACGAGCCCTCCAAGGTGCTCATGAACCTCACGTTCGAGAACTACTGCTGAAGAGTCTGAGCTCTTACCTGCTGGCGGGTCCTGCTGGGCTCCAGCCCCACTCTATCAGAGAGAGCCTGCCGATCTGGCTGGTCCACCGAGGTACCCCTAGATCCAGCTCCAACAGGCATCCACCGTGAGCTTCATTAATGCTTCCTTCAGCTAGGTATCTGAGGCTGATACAGGTTTCCCCTCTTTAGGTCAGGCTGGTTTTCAGACTATACAACATACCAGCTTCTGGAGGGTGACTGAGGTCATGGCGTAATCTCTATAAACGCATTCATTCGAGCAGCCCATGGGCATCCTTTGTGGTGCCAAGGAAACAGGTGCCATGTGATCGTACCTCCATTTACTCATGGCCGTCTCTGTGGCAGCCGCGCCACTAACGCCTGTGCTGGCCGGAGACCCATTTTTACAGTGGGGCAAAGGGAGGCCCCGGGAGAGGGCCAGTTTTCATGTCAGAGGTGCTCCAAGCCTGGGCAGGATATCCCCTCTCTAATGCAGGGCCTACGATAGATTTCCTTTTAAAAATCGCAACCCAGACGCCAGCTGACTTTGTGTATGGGCTCGGTGTCAAGCCACGGCGGTTGTCTCTTTAGAGGATCAAAGTGGACTTCACTGTGCTTAGTTAGTTGCTCTTGAGCCAGGTACCGTCGGCTGTAGGAGTCTTGCCCGAAGGGTGTCGGGCCTCTGGGGGACTGAAGCTTGTGACCCCCGCCTCCCCGCGCCCTTCATTTCCCGCAGAGGACACAGCGCCAGGGAACGCGGAGGGTGGGCGAAGGCGGACGGGCCAAGTTTGCTTGCTGTGGCTGGGCGGGACACCCGGGCTGCAAGGGCCGGAAGAGAATCTGAACGCACGTGGAGTGAAAACAATCGGTCGGGTCAGGGCCGAGGAGTAGGGTGAGCAGTGGTCCAAACCTCTAAAAAGTCTGGCCTGCGAAAGGAAGGCCACAACCGAGGCACGGACGGGGTTCGAACCCGTGATCTTCGGTTTACGAGACCGACGCCTTACCACTTGGCCACCGCGCCTGCGTTGCAATGGCGGCCCTGCTAGTGATTATACTGGCTTCACCCTGGTGAGCTCGCCCGCGGGCACGAGCGCGAACGCGAGCACGGGTACGAGCACGCCCGCCCGGAGCTGGCCGCCCAGGCGGCCCTCGCGGCTCCACCCCCTCGCAGCGGCAGGCGGAACGAGGCAACGCTCCAGCTGGCGCACTCCAGGCGCTCTGCGCGGACTGCGGACGGCCCACAGAACTCGGAGCCTGCGGCCCCGCACAACTTGGGGCGGTGTCAACTTGGGGCGGTGTCTCCAGAGTCTCCAAGGCCTCGTCTGGAGGCGTGTGTAAGACTCCGGAGCTGGCCGGACGCTGGTCCGCGTCGCACCCCTTTGGGTTCGAAACCCAGTTGCACCACAGTCTTCGCAACTTCGGAGTAGTGGTCTGGGAGCGTCGGTTTCCCCGCTAGGGCGAGGCACCCGGCAGGTGCAGGTAGGGTGGCAGTTCCTCCTTAATAGGACCCAGGGCGGTCCACGGCTGCTCTGCACCCGGCAGGAGCTCTGCAGTGGTGGTTCAATGAAACTACCGTTTTCTGAAATTAAAAGCCCAAACTCCTTCCCCCCAGATTGCCAGTGTAGCCCAGGATGTGTGCTGGACCCGGGACCAGCAGCCTCACCTGGAGGGTTAGAAACGCGGTTTCTCCCGCTTACCCAGACCTACCCACTGGACCTGCTGGGGGAGCCCAGCAGGCTGGGTTTTACCAAGTACTCCAGGTGAAGCTGGTGCGCGGGAGAGGCTGAATCCCACTGCTCTAGATAAAGGATACCCATATTTCAATTTACATATTCAAACGTACCCTTTTATTTTTAGCCAGATGGGGTGACTTTACAGTTCTCTGCACTTTTTTTCACTAATTACTGTATGATGTGTTAACAATATAATGGCTTGTAGTGCATACTAAAACATAATGACAATAAATAATAGAATATATTATTTAATAAATATAATTAAATTCTATTCGTTAATGTAAATGTCGCAACATTGTATAGTAAATTATAGTGGCATATACTGTAATATGGTATTATGCATGGATGCGTTGCCTTTATTCTCTTTAGTAGCTGCATGGTTTTCTATTGAGTGGCTCTATCACGATTTAAGCAGTTTCCGGGAGTTAGGCTTGGGTTGTCTGCAGCTTTTTTGCTGCACAGAACATTCTGCTACATGTGTCTTTGACGCCTGGTGCCAGTGATGCTTGTAGGGCATATGGAGACATGTTAAGCATATCCATCCCTGGCTGGTGTAACTCAGTAGATTGAGCGGGAGCGTGGGCCTGCAAACCAAAGGATCGCGGTTCAATTCCCAGTCAGGGAGCATGCCTGGGTTGCAGGCCAGTTCCCAGCAGGGGCTGCATGAGAGGCAACCATACACTGATCTTTCTCTCCTTTTCACCTTCCCTTTTAAAGAAAATCTTAAATGTGTCTCCACAGCCCACCACCAGGCAGGTGTGTAGGCAAATAGAAAACTTAAAGATACCAGGAATTTGTGTTCACTGAGTTGCTTTCCATGTCAGTGTTTGGGCAGGTGAGTGGAAAAGGCTCTGACATTCACCCTCAGACAGGAGCCTTGAGAGATTGCACCTGAAGTGCTTGAGATAGATCTACATGTGTGTGCAAACCTTACTGCAGCAACCTAATGAAAACAACATTTTCAGAATTAAAATATGCACTATGGAGTAGTGCTTCTGACTAGCTGGTAAAATTGGTTCCATTGTCCCCCTCTGTTTTTGCTGTTCACTGGGTTGTTGAAATTACTGTGCAGAAGTGACAGGGGCTTATGAAAAGTGAAAAGAAATTAGCCAATGAGAGAGCATCACATATGAGCTGAGCCTGGAATTAACTGGCAGGTGGAATGGGAATCCGAGTCTAACAGGTGATTTTTTTTTCAGCTCTGTCTTCTGAGGGAATGGAGGGAATTCAATGATGAAGGTGCATTTGCACCTCGGTGGCAGATGGGATCCCAAAGTTTTCCGGGGTCTGGGGGCCCCTGAGAGAGGCTGATCCTCCAATCTTCTGTGAGCCCTAAAGTAGGGAGCACAGGTGCTGGGTGCTCTGACCGTACTTACTTTACAGGGTAAGGAGGCCTGAGAGGCCACAGATCTTGGACACCAGGATGGAGGATCTGCTTGTCCTGGCTCCATGTCTTGGAGTGATGCCTGCACCAGGTAGGTCCGTAAAAAGTACTGCGGAAGGAATTCACATGCGGAATTCTGGAGAACCTCTTTAGCCTGTGACCTTCGAACACTGTGCCACAACAGTCCTGGCTTTGAACGTCCTATAAACCCTTCCACGATCAAGCAACAACTTTTAACTTCTTGGTGATAAGATGTCCACTGCTCATGCTTAGGGAAAGAAACGTTTCCTGTGCCCCTACAGAGTCCCTGTGGCAGGTGGGTCCTGATGGCACACAAATAATTGTGACCCCATCCCAGGCCTCCCAAATGCTCGGGTGAGAACCCAGGGTTGGGTGAAGCAGATGGTGCTTTGAGGAGTCTGGGAAGGTGACCTTTTAAGTGAGGAAGTGTCAAAACTAACCTGATGACAAAGCCAGGTAACATGATAGAATACTCTTGATCTTTTTGTTTCACCTGTGTGAGTGAGTTGACTAGTTCTGAATAATTTATAAGCATTCGCATTTCTTTAGTGTTGAAACTTTGTCACTTTTTTCCATTTTAGAAAAGCATAGTAGTTTTAAATCTTTATTTACTTCACCTCTTTTTCTTTGTGCCAGTCCCCAAAGCAGGAATTCCTAACCTGCACTCAAGACCAGGAAATCAGTGAATTCCCCGAGTATGTAACATGGGAAATGGATGTGTGTGTTTCTGGGAAAGAGATCTCACAATTTGGATCAGGTTTTCAGAAAGGCCTCTTGAGGTTTCCAGCATTTTTATGTCCTTTGCTTCTCTTTCTGTGGCTCCTGACTCACTCAGACCCGGCTGAGATGCACTATCTTAGTTGTTCAGCCACAACTGAGGTTGCTTAAAAAAAATGTCTCCAAGACACTCTCCCTCAGATGTCCCCACTGCAGCAACCCCTAACACCCTCCCCACCTGCCCACCTGCTCTCAGCAAGGAGAGCATCCATTTTAACAGCACCTCCCAGTCTGTGAGGGGCTTTCACCTGTGTTATCTCAATATGCCTCAGCTGTGGCCTCACAGTGCTTCTCGAACCTTCGGGTCTCCTGATACTGCAGGCCGGCCTGGAAGGTCTGGGATGCGGCCCAGGTTCTGCCTTTCTAACAACCTCCCAGGTCATGCTGATACTGCTGTTCCCCACCCTCATTTTGAGAACCATTACCCTGAACCGGGGCGTCAAACTCATTTTTATTGGGGGCCACATCAGCCTCATGGTTGCCTTCAAAAGGCGGAATGTAATTCTAGGACTGTGTAAATGTAACTAACTCCTTAAGTAGGGGCAAGGATCGTGGTGCTGCCGCTGGGGAGAAACAATAAGGTGAAGGGCCGGATTCAGCCCGTGGGCCTTGTGTTTGCCACCTGTGCTCTGAAGTGTTCCTGGAGAAATTCATTTGCAGTCTTGGATATTCAGCTCACCTGAGGTAATGACCATAGGCTGTTTACTACTTACCCAAATCAAGAGTTTACTTCAGGAAAGCTCGCTTGGCTGCTCGCAGCAGCCAGGGTGCACTGTTTGTGATGTCCGTTTAGAATCCAGGGCCAGAGCCAGAGAACACAACCCCCTTTCATCGCTTCATCTGATCAAGCCAGTGATTTAGAGCAGGCCGGGCGCTTCCAGTGCTGGAGGGGCGAGGCAGGTAACAGGACGCTGTCAGAGCAGGGGCAGGACACAGGGAGAAAGGGGCAGCGCCTGGTGAGGTGGCACCATGGCACGTTCCACCCGAGACCACGAGTTCCACCGACTTCACGTTTTTCGTCCTACCTTTTAAATTTTAGGTCTTCTAGTCAGTATGTGGTGGTATCTCTAATTTGCATTTTCTGATGACTAATGATGTTTTCAGTACCTTTCCATATACTTGGTAGCTATTTGTTACCTTTTGTAAAGTGTCTGCTTGAATCTTGTGTGTTTTTGTAGCCCGTTTGTTTGCCTTCCTCTTACTGATCATCAGGGTTTGCTGTATATTCTGGATACGAGTCTTCTGTGAATATTTTCTGTCTTCGTGGCTTGCTTGTTCGTGTTCTTAATGGTATCTTTCAAAGTCTGAAGCATGAAATTTTAATGAAGTCCACCTTATATATCAGTATGTCTTTTGTGCTTCATGCTTCTTGTGTCCTTTTTAAGACATCTCTGTCTACTTAGGTCACGAAGGTTTTCTTTTAGGATTTTTATCATTTTAGCTTTCATGTTTAGATCTCTGGTCCATTCTGAATTAATTTTGGTGTGTGGTGTGAGGTAGGGGTTGCCATTCATTTTTCCCCAAATGGTTACGCAGCACCATTTGTTGACATGATTATCCTCCCCTCATACAGTTGTGTGGTACCTTTGTTAAAATTCAGCGGAGGGTGTATGTGTGGTCTGTTCCTGCAGTTTTTGTTGGTTTCCATTGATGTGCTTGTCTAATTGATCTTTCTGCCAATTACCAGACAGTCTTGATTATTATACTTTATAGGGATTCCCCAAATCAAGTATTATTGATTTGGCCTTCTCTGTGTCCTTCTTTTACAAAATTGTTTTGCCTGTTTTAGTTGCTGTCTTAACTCTGCCGAGTCCTCCTGTTCATGAATATTTCAGTTGTTTGTTGCCGATGCCGAGTCTTGGATTATAAATTCATTTCTTCGGCATTTCATCATGTGCGTTTCCTGTGTCTGCAGTGGGAGAGCAGCTGGAACGTTCGTGGTGACTGTGCTGTGCCCCTTTGGCACTGCATCCCGGCACAGACCCCTGTCCCGTGCCGGAACCCCGGGGGGCCCCGCGGGACGCCCCGAGCTGAGGAGTGAAGCAGGACGTGTAGCCTGTGTAGCTGCTGTGGCAGGATTCAGAAGCAGCAGGGTTCTCCCCAATAAGACGGAGAGGCGGTGATCGTTTCAGCACTCTTAACAGATCAGGCCAAACACACACAAAATGTAAAGATGAAAAGTCAAGTTTTCTGCAGAAAAATGACAGTTGTACAGAATGTCCTGGGATCACCTCAGCAACTCAGTCTTAGAAACATGAACCTCGGAAAGTGTGCTTTAGTTGGTTCATTCTGGAGCCAGAATAAGATCAAGTTGGCAGCTACGGATAATAGAAAGTTTTGTTTTTTCTTTTTTCCCTCTTGTTTTTTTCAGGTAAACTCTAAAAAGGTAAATCGGATACAAACTGTCATGCAGAGTTGGCAGTGGTTTTATGTATACAGAAAGCAGCAGGCAGTGACAGAATAAAACTGCTCTTTCTCCTACTATTCAGCAGAGGACTCCTGATCTTCCAATTCTCACTTCCCTCCTGCTCCTCCCTCCTCTTCAAAGTGACCACCCTTATGAGTTAATTTTAGATTTTTCCATGTCTTTTCCTTTGCTTTTGTGTTAATACATGTTTATACAAAGAAAATGTGTTTTGGATGGAATTTTTCTCCTCACAAATGGTACCATGCTGCAATGGTTTTTGACACCTTTAAAAAAAAAACTCCTCAAAGCATCAGAGGTCCAGCGCTGTCATTATCTGTTCCTTTTAACTGATGTGTTCTACTCTGCTCGGTGACTGTGGAGCAGAGTTTTCAGTAAGTCCCCTATTGCTGGTCACCTAGGTTGTTTCTGATTTTTCTTCATTGCTAACAGCTGCTCTTGCCTCGCCGCACTTGACTCCCTCTGCACATGCGTGAGGGTTCTTCAGCCTGCACGTCAGGGTCATTGCTTTCCTAAGGTAACTTTTCTTTTTAGCAGCCTTACACCAACAGTTCTGCAAATACCTGCTTGCTGGCGGTGACTGACCAGCCATCAGTGCCAATGGGCCACGGGAGGGATCCGTGCATCCTTTGGGCCCCGCCTTTAAAACTGCGTGTGGAGCTGGTTGGGGAGAGGCAGAAACAGTCAGCCCCCCACTGTGTGTGACAGGGTGGCTCAGGTCTGCCAAAGCGGTGCAGACACGTGTCGTGGGTGTGAGCGTGTTGGTGTCAAACTGAGCAGAGTCCTGGGCTCCTTTCAGTGTCAGGAGCTTGCAAGAAACAACGTGTGAATGTCTCAGTTGGCTCCTTCGCACGTGCTGCCACTTTCTGTAAAGTAGTACCAGCGGCTCCCACAGGGATGACCCATGGTGTGTGTTCTCAACACAGTGCAGAATCATTTCTTTTCCCGTGGATTTATGAGTATTATCTGATGTTTCAAAAACTCCAATCGTCACTCATATTGATCAGAAAGTCATTCTGATGGACCGACAGGGAAGGGAGATAGAGAGGCACCTTTTTTGAGGCCGCCTATTTTAAGATCACTGTTAGGTACATGATACTTGACCTAATGGGTTGCACATGTTTTTAACTGGTACGATGTTTTGATGAATTAGTGCTTGCTGTTGGGTCGTTTTCCGCAGACATCCCCTCCACCCTTTTAGAATGTAGGAGTTGGAGCAGCATATGCATATTAAGCAAATACACACAGTTAAATAGTTAACTATGCATAGTGAAATATACATAAAGAAATAACAGAAATATGAAGTTGAAAGTGACCACTGAATGTCACTTGCCATCATCAGCCAGTGACCACATTGCCAGTGCTTGGTGTGGGGGGTGATTAGTCCCAGGTCTGTTCTTGGCAAAGTGGGAAGATAAATGGAGGAAGGGAATGAAAGCAATGTGATGATAAATTGACAGAGGAGAACATGTCTTTCACTTTTTCCCTTGCAGCTTTGCTATAGTGCTATTACACCATAAATGCATATGTAAAACTCAGATGTAAAGATGCCTAACGCGAAATATGACTTTTTCCTTTCTCCTCCTTCTCCTATGGACACATTAGAATTTCTTTCATGGAGATGTAAGATTTTATCAGAAACATTTTGTTGTTCTGTCTTATTTCACAGGTCTTAAAAAGCCGTCACTGTGTTTCTTGGGATGCTTTCTGCCTTGGCAGCTGCCTGTTGGACGTCAGCAAATGCCCTGGGGGCGTGGATGGTTTCTCCTGTGTTTACCTCTGCACGTTAGTCGGTTGTCAGGGTGTGTTAGTGAGCCCCGTTTAATCCTATGTTATCTTAAAAACAACACAAGGGAAAATATTTAGGG